AGGAATATTCTTTATATTTTAATTATTAGCGCAAATTGAATGTCAAAACATTGAGAAACAAATGAATTACACTTCAATTCACTCAATGATAACTTCATGCCATTCAATGAAGGAATCAATCAATCAATCACTTCCTCAATGTCTGTGTATTCGCCGCAAAAAACTAATACTCGAAATGAATTCTCGCAATGAGTTTCCGCACAGAAATATGAGTCCATTCTTCGTCTGTCGCTCACGACTGACACTAAATAGCGATCGATATCTCACAAAAACAAAATGTCTGTCTCTTTAATGCTGAGAGAAATGAGACAAAGAAGTGATTTTCAAATGGTTGGCATTATTAATGTAAACCCATTCTTCCACTTCTATATTGTGGTCGACATAATCATCGCATCAAAAGCACGCTTCATATCAAATACCGAACGCAACCTCACATTTCCGTCACAATCCCTCCAAACAATAGTTTGAAACAACACTTTCCTCTTAAGCCTCGAATAGTCTGTTATCTTAGGATTCAATAAATGCGATGACATTCTCCTCTCAAACAAACCCCTCTTCCTATCGATTCGTCAATTGACACAAAGAGTGCATCACTTCTTCGTGTAGTACTTCCTCCTCAACGAGTCGTCACTTCACTTCTTGATTATCTTCCTCTCAAAAGGTCACGAAGTCGTTCGGGAAGTCCGTACAGACGCGGCAGTGGAGGCGCAGGACATGTGAGAGATGGCGGCGGACGGCCACGAACTCCTCCGAGTCGGTCACAATCGGCGGATTCCAATTCGCGGTAATTTTGATGGTTTTGATTTGTTTAACATTAAAATTAATTCATTTCTTATTGATTTAACAGTTAAACTCGACTTAACCACACATTCCCTCAATTCGACTGAAATAAAAATCTAAAATTTTGTGTTTAAAAGAAATATTTTTAAACTTAAAACAAAAGCAAAAGTATTTGAAATTTCATTTAATTTTATTAACATTTCTTTTATAGATTTACAAATATTTTGAAATAATTTCGATACGAATTACATTTAAAATACACACAATTTATAGTTAGATCTTAATTTGTAATCCGTTTCCTTCATAAATATAATCCTAACATATATTTTGTGTTTAATGTCGTAATTATTTATTCATAAAGATTTGCTTTTTATTTAAACTTTGATTTCTTATATTCTTTTGTGACCATAATATTTGTTGTTTTGAATCAATTAACCAAAAAATATGCGTTTATTTTATGGTAGAAATAAAAAATGTTTGTTTTTCTAATTTATATTTTTATTTTATTTGTTGTAATATGTGTTGAGTTAACAGTTATATCAATATTCTTATTTCTGGTGATCGCAAGACATGAGTGCAAAACTCTTTACATGCCGTCTATTTTTGGGCCACAGATTAGACTAGTTTTAAAATGCTTTGTCTTCACATTTAATGCAATTAATCAAATGTGATGTTTATATTTGAGCTCAAAAGTGTATTTATAGATTAAATTTTAAACAAATTTATACAAAACTTATTTAATTTTGTTAACAAATTTAAATATTATCCTTACCTGTGATATAGAGAATAGTTGTTTAGTTGTGGTGTTATGCCATTTAATGCAGTGATGGATAGGGTTTATGGATATATTTAAAGTGTATTTCATTATAAAATAAGATATTGTTTGCCAACTGATGAAAGAATTTAATGTTTGCAATTGTAATAACATTAAGAATACGTAAACTAATGGAAAACTGTTGTACGAGAAACACAAGTACAGAGTGTTTGCAAATATAGTTTGTGTGTAAATTAGTGGCGAAAAATTGGTCTAAATTTAAACTTTATTTTAAGAAATCTATTATTAGTTGATTATAAGGCAGAAAGAGATAGAGAGTGTGTGTTATATCTCTATGTTTTCGCTGTTGTGTAAGACATGAATGCATTGAGAATTGCATTTCACACGAATGGCACTGATTTTGTGCACACATTCTTCGGCCCAGACTTTGCTTCAAACAAATTGTATAACAGTTTGAGAGAACATCTCA